ACTGTTGAATGACGTCAACGACGACCCAGATTTACTCAAAAGGGTCATAATTGGTGACGAATCATGGGTATATGGTTATGATATATAAACCAAAGTCCAATCGTCCCAATGAAAGAGCCCAGATGAGCCAAGACCGAAAAAAGCACGCCAAGTTCGATCAAATGTCAAAGTTTTGCTCACTGTTTTCTTCGATTACCATGGCGTGGTGTATCAGGAATTCTTACCATATGGACGTACGGTCAATAAACAGTATTATCTTGAAGTTATGCGCCGTTTGCGAGAAGCAATACGAAGAAAACGCCCAGAATTGTGGAAAAACAATTCATGGCTTTTGCATCACGATAATGCCTCTGCTCACTCATCTTTGCTTGTGAGAGATTTTTTGGCCAAAAACAACACCACAATCATGCCTCAGCCACCATATTCACCGGATTTGGCCCCATGTGACTTTTTCTTGTTCCCAAAACTAAAGAGACCTATGAAAGGACGGAGATTTGCAACGATTGGGTTATTAATTGCGAAAAACCGTTGGCATAAGTGTATTGTATCTGAGGGGGATTACTTTGAAGGGGACAACATAAATATTGATAAATAAATAAATATTTTTTCTTAAAAATACAAAGTCACCTTACTTTTTGAACACACCTCGTATATATATATATATATATATATATATATATATATATATATATATATATGAATAATCCATACTCAATATTACAGCTTATAAGGTACAATAACTGAAAATCTTGTATACTTTGAGGTTAGATAGGACGATTAATGGACGGCCTTCGCCAAAGATTGATGATTTATACGCGTTCAACATCCTCATAAATAGATTCATAGTATGGTGTACTGCCTAATCATTTGTTCAATGAGATCATGGTGTAAAAAATTGGTTAGGATAGCAATTTTCAATTAGCGATAACTTGAAGAAAAATGAATATTTTTGAAATCAGTGAGAAATATTTTGAAGGATAAGACTTCTACTTTTAGGTAATACATTCAGTTTTTGAAAAAAAAATTTTTCGCTATGCTACTGTGACAGCGGGCCATATTATCAAAATTTTCAAAATTTCAAAGGAATAATTTTTCCTAGTATTAAGACCAACGGCAGAGTTGAAACCATTTCCCATGAGCTGGGGGAACGGACTCAAGTGTCGCAGAAAAATTCTCCTTGATAATCTCCAAACGGCAATAAAGTCTATAGTCCAAATATATGTAAGCGTGCATTCCTTTTTTTATTACGCTCTTCCGCCCCTCGCGCCCTCGCACTTACATACGAAGTGCATACAGCCTCCGAACACGTGGGCACCGAGATGCCGATAAGAGAAGGGCCATAAAATCGCGTCTGCATCCTGTTCACATCATGACTAACGAATTTTTCCCTTTCCAACTAGAAATTAGGCATTAGAAATTATGTAATAATTTTTTTTTTAATTTGAATATTTTTACTTCAATAATATATCAGAAATAATTTTAGCCTCTCGAAACCTCTTATCGAGTTTTCGCTTTGGAGCTTAGTTTTAAGCAGAAAATAAGAAAATACAAAAAAATACGTTAATTTTAACGAATATAATGTTACTGAAAAAACTTTTATTATAAGAAATTAATCTACACAGCGTAACGTGCGAGATAATAAGCGTCGCTCTATTTTTATAAATTTTATTATTACATAATTATTGATAACTGTATTTTGTGGCGAATTGAATTATAATGTTGATTGTTAATATAAGTAGTGTATAAGCTATGTATTGGTCGATTATGTTTTCTCCGACTTCAGTTAATTAACAATTACGAAATTTTAAACTAATCTTGTCTGCGAATGATACTTGAAGAGCAATCTCACGAGCTAAGGCCTGTACCCTTGCGTCCGCGCTCCCGATTTTCTCCACGCCCCCGCTTCAATCAGGGCCCGAAAATCCAGCGAGGAAAATCAGAAGAAACAAACGGACCAATTAACACATCACTGCTTGCTCCACTCCTCCCGAAACCGAGAGGCTGAGAGTGAGACTCATCAACCATCATTCAACCATCTGATATAAAAAGGGCTGCATAAGACCCAAAGGGCAGTCGTCGTCGTAGTTGTTGTTGTCGGAGTTAGAGTTATTGCAGTTCAAGTTGTAAGAGAAATATTGAAGTGTAAGAAAAATATTGAATACCAGTGCTGAAGGAAACATAGGAATCAACACCAAGAAGTCAGATCCCAAACAAGAGTCAAGCAGCCAAGCAGACAAGAAGCGAATCAAAAAGCCAAGCAGCCAAGAAGTCCAAAAAGTGAAACGAATAAAATCGACTAATACAGAATTAGGAGCCGTAAGTTAAAAAGTGACAAGTTTCAATAAAAGAGTAAGCAAATAAAATTTTTAATTTTTTAGTAACCTATCTATCTCTCCTCTCTCTTATAAATAGCTCGCAATCCAAAAATTCTTCCCTTTACCGTATTTGGAGACTACTTTTGATAGGCTCCAAATACAATTTATTAGAAAAAACGGGTTCTACTATTGATAGGACTCAGGATACTTCGCGCTCTCGGATTACAACTATCGATTGGAATCCAAGAGCAGAAGTATAGGTTTAGTGACACTGTCCCCCTCGGTATTATTAATTTTCGATTAGTGATCCCGCTAGCTTATGCGAGAAATCGCAGGCTAGCCACAATAGAACCCTGAGAGTACGCCAAGCCTCAGGTGCACCTGAGACGTGTCGTTGCTACGACGTCACACTACATAACCTTCAAAAGTGCTTAAAAGTGTGTTTCTCACACTTTGAAGTTAGAATATTTTGGAAATCTAGGGTGATGGTTCAATTCTGAAGCCAGATTTGGAATCAGCGCATCGAAAACTTTCTGGAACATAGGGTTTGCTTTCTGGGATTTTCCATTTTTTAAATTTTGTTGGCCTGTCCAAATTATTATACAAGCTTTATTTTATGAGGTTTTTGAGGGCGGCATTCCTGTGGATTATATCATACTTGTAGAGTTGTACACCAAAAGGCACCAATAAGAATCGTGACTAAAATTAGTTGGAGACCGACCTGGGAATATCACAGTGCTGTGTTCTTGCCGTAAGCTTGGAGTAAAGATGGCACCCAAAAAAAGAGAGACTGAACAGCAAGCTTCTTTATTTCTATACTGCTTCGTCAGATGATCAAGCTTCCGACGGATACATACTTACTCTTCTCTGACCACTATTCTTTTGCTCGGATATACTACTGTTTCCACTTAGAAACAATCGCACCACACGATAATAATTAGATGGAGAGAGCAAGCGAACAAAAACCAAGGATAAGTTGAGCGAAAACACAGGCATTGTATTACCGGTCAAAGTTATGTTAATTGTCTTTTCATCGAGTGCTGCCCTTTCCTTCTACTTCACGTATGCTTACCTATTCTGAGTGCTTCCGAATTTTTCGTCAATTCTTTCTCTCACAGCCGCGCTTACTGTGCTCTATCGCAGTCGCTCTTTGATATATGCGTATGTATGCTTTGTGCTAGGTACTTAAATGATCCTTCTGATTTAGTAGCTGAATGGTTAGGTTTTCCTTACCTATAACACAGTTTCCTCTCAATATCATTTTTCGAACAATCTAATGTCATGTTTCCGTATATCAAATACGTGTAGCATCTTGTAGCTATTTTCTTTTCTCGTACACAAATGTTAGTCCATCCTACAGTGACCTCGTCCGGTTTTAGTAATTTTCGGGTGGTCATAGCTCTTGGCACATTTACGACTGCTATTCTTGTTTTCTTTGGTCCTGTTCTGAAATTTTTCACCCCCAGCTGCTCTAGTATAATATCTTCAAGGACTGTGATGATGGCTTGCTGCACTTTGTCTTTCATAATTTCGGCTTCGAGATATCTAATCTTAAGTGTGACCATTGGCACTAGAGCCTTTACAGGTAGTTGATTATCAACTATCGTTAATAGAGCACTGCAAACTTCCTTCAGTTTGGAGCTTTTCATCAGCTCGGGTAACAGATTTCAATTTCTGGTTTCTTGCATCTTCTCCGTCTTTTGTCTCAATAGTTTCAGTATTTCAGCGTAGCTTATGTCACTGTCATTGTCTTCTTTATGAAAATCGGTTTTGCTTTCGTCTTTAGAAGGTTTATTTATCCTGATGGCGTTCCCACCAGTGTTAATTCACGACATATCGATTGTCTTTTTGCGCCCCCTTCTCGTTTCCGGGCTACTTTGCAATACTTGATGTTTTGACAGAGCTTGGATTATTTATCTATCTATCCATCTATCTCATTTTATAACGTTAGAATCGACATGCTAGGCCAGATTTGTGTTATGGATTTCTGATTATTTTTCTGTCGAAGGATAAATAAGTCCTACGCTAATAAAACTTAGATATGTTCTCTGTTTCATGTGGCCACTTTTACTCGTTTTTCACATTTTATCTCTTTATTTTTTCATCAAACGGTATCTTTGCTTACTTAGTGCAAGTGTGCACTGTACATTTTTTCATGATTGTACTTTTGCACATCATTTCCAACTCGTTCTTGGAACTACATCTTGGCACACCAGCCGGCGTGTAATTACCGAGGCAACGATAAGATGCAGTTTTACGAGAAAGAATCTTGCACTGAAGGAGTCAGTGGAAGTGCGTTATTAAATATACAGGCACTCGAATTATCTATCTAGAATAATATAGCGCAATAATATATAACGCATCATCTACAATTCTTTTCTCACTAATTTTTTTGCTCTCTCTCTCTCTCTCTCAATTATATAATTTCTCTTTAATTCATTGTAAAAGTCAATCTTCTTTTTATTAGTAATATTTGTAATAAAAAAATATTCTTCACAAATTAAAAGTTTGACTGCCGATGTGAAATAGGATAAATTTTGTTGCAATATGGAATTTTATAATGTTCAAGTGATTTCCAGCCTTAAATTATAGTTTACATCTTATCTATCATTAAACAGTATTATTCCGTGTTTTTAGTATCTAATGATATTAGGGAGTTTAATTCAAAGCCATAAAATTAATTACCTGCTTTTATTTCATCAAGTAAGAAGCCAGAAATTTTTAGTCCTTCCAGAACTGTTGGAAGAAGCTCAGCAATGTAACCTGTTAGAAGAACAGCGGCTGCTATGCGCTCTTCAGTTTCCTGTCGCGTTTTTAGCGCTTTTCCGCATTGTCTCACTCTTCGGTTCTACAATTTTAATAAACTAATAAGTACATAAGTAAATAAATATTTCAATCGATTGGTTCGATGAAACAACAAGTTTAATATAAGTAAATTTATCTCACCTTTTCATCTCGAAGACGTCTGTCCTGTTCTTCGAGTCGCTCTTCCTCAGCTTTGTCTGATACCCGAAGATCCAGGAATTTTTTTTGTTGCTCTCGCAATAAAGCCATTTCTTCTTCTTCGAGTACTTCAATCAAAGCTTGTTCAATGGTTTTACCGACCAAAACCTCAAGAATAGGTTGCACTTCCACATCGTAGTCAAACAACTAATGGGATATAATGATTTTCAGCTTCAATAAATATCCACACTTCAATCCTTTTTTTGTATTTTTATCTTACCATTAACACAGGTCTGCATGGTTTCGTTATAGAATAGCTGAAAATCATTTCCATAGTAATTTTTAATGTAGAAATTGAATATCAACTCACAATTGCTCCATCACATCAAATTTTTGAGTAATTCTAACCTAAAAGTGTAACAAACGCGGTTTTTCAATTTACTTAAGCACCAATAAGTTCGTGAATTTTTATTTTTGAAATCTAATAAAATCAACAAAAAGGACCACTTTTATAGCTTTCTATTTAACTATTTACATTTAAGTTTTGAATTTTTCTAACCGCAATTATGGCTGATTGAAAAAAATTTGCAGGTTTCGTAATAATCAATGTATTGTAAAAAGAAAAAATAATAGGATCTGAAATTCGTTTTTACATTGTAATTTCTGATGAACGAAGAATTATATAGAATGATCAGTGATCATAGTTAGGGCATTGACAAATTTTGTTTCCTATCATTTTTTTCGTTCATATATCGGTTAATGCGAAAACTGCAATTTTTTTTTCAATCGATAACGCCAGTAAGAAAAATTCAAATCATAAATGTACGAGGTGTGTTCAAAAAGTAAGGTGACTTTTCAAATTTCACGGGCAACGTACTTTCGATTATCGATTTTTTGTTTTGTTATGTTGGTACACTCTTCCCGAACATCTGTACCAAGTTCCAAGTATATAGCATTTTTTGTTTGGTTGTGAGAGGCGTAAAGGTTATAAGTGTTTTGCGTGCTCGGCGATTTCTTGCCATCGAAAAATATGGATCAAAGGATTTGCATCAAATTTTGTGTAAAAAATAAAATAAAGTGCTCCGAAACACTTGAAATGTTGACGGTGGCATACGGTGAAACTGTTCTGAGTAAAGAAATGTTTACAAGTGGTACAAACTCTTCCAAGATAGCCGGGAAGATGCCGATGACGAGCCTCGCTCTGGACGCCCAAGCACGTTAACAACTGATGAAAACGTTCAAGCAGTGAAGAAAATTGTTCTGGAAAATCGTCGAATCACTATCAGAGAAGTTGCTGAGGATGTTAGTATATCGCTTGGCTCGTGCCATGAAATTTTTTCTAACGTTTTGGGCATGAGACGTGTGTCAGCAAAGTTTGTTCCGAAATTGCTAAATTTTGACCAAAAGAATCGTCGCATCATGAGCATCGCTCAAGAACTGTTGAATGACGTCAACGACGACCCAGATTTACTCAAAAGGGTCATAACTGGTGACGAATCATGGGTATATGGTTATGATATCGAAACCAAAGTCCAATCGTCCCAATGGAAGAGCCCAGATGAGCCAAGACCGAAAAAAGCACGCCAAGTTCGATCAAATGTCAAAGTTTTGCTCACTGTTTTCTTCGATTACCATGGCGTGGTGCATCAGGAGTTCTTACCATATGGACGTACGGTCAATAAACAGTATTATCTTGAAGTTATGCGCCGTTTGCGAGAAGCAATACGAAGAAAACGCCCAGAATTGTGGAAAAACAATTCATGGCTTTTGCATCACGATAATGCCTCTGCTCACTCATCTTTGCTTGTGAGAGATTTTTTGGCCAAAAACAACACCACAATCATGCCTCAGCCACCATATTCACCGGATTTGGCCCCATGTTACTTTTTATTGTTCCTAAAACTAAAGAGACCTATGAAAGGACGGAGATTTGCAACGATTGAAGAGATAAAGACTGCATCACTGGAAGAGCTCAAGGCTATACCGAAAAGTGCTTATGAGAAGTGCTTTGAGGATTGGAAAAACCGTTGGCATAAGTGTATTGTATCTAAGGGGGATTACTTTGAAGGGGCAACATAAATATTGATAAATAAATAAATATTTTTTCTTAAAAATACAAAGTCACCTTACTTTTTGAACACACCTCGTAAATACTTAAACGAAAAGTATAGTATTACATATTTTGGTAGTTTTATCATATTTGCAAATTATTAAAAATTTGTGGATTTATTAGTGCTCAAATAAAGTAAAACACTAGGATTTTCGCACCTTTCAGTTCGGATGACTTAAAACCTGACTTAATGGAGGAAGTCTGAGTCCAAATTTCATTTCTTATTGAAAATTTACTTCAGAAATAACTATCAATATTTCTATAAAAATTATAACCACATATTTTGCAGATCTGTGTAATTATTTTGATTATTATTTCAATTATTAATCATTACTCTATATAAAAATAGTTACATAAAAATAACTTTTTTAGGAAATTTTTTCATATTTTTATTTTTATTTTTATTCTTCATTTTTATTCGTAACTTACATCTCCGGGTTCTATTTGCGTGGTTGCATCTATTCCTTTTTTTGATTGACAAAAAGGTAGAGTCGCTGGTCTATCCAAAAAATAATCCGTCTGTGATCCGATTTCGATTTCATCAGGTTTTCTAAATAACTAAAATAAAATGATATAGATTCAAAAAGAAATATTTTATATTACGGCATTAAATACTAATAAACGATTATAAAGAGACAATAAAGGACCTCAATAAATGCAATATTAATGTTGATTGAATAAATATATTTCGTATTCACATGAGACATACTCTGTAAATCGATATATTTCAAGGTCAGCATGATTTCCTCAATATCATAAAATTTAACGCATTTTTGAATAACTAAAGCCTTATATGTATGTGTTACCGTGGCAGACTTCCATGCAAAATTTATTTTTATGTTTAATATTTAATTTTATTTTCAGATTTTACTTGTTAACCTCACATTCTAATCTTGAGAAATTTCTAATGACTGTTATAATTTAGAATTTTGCAATCCTATTTATGGTGTTTCAAAACATATTTAAAAAATTTTTGATTCAGAGAAAGGAATATTTTTTATGAATTCGAACAAAATGTAACATTTTTTAAAACAAAAAAGACAATTCAAACTTTTTATTATAAACTTAATTTACGAATATTGTTAAATAAAATATTAATTTCTGAATATTTCCATCTATGAAAAACGCAGAAGTAGCGGTTTTAAACCAGGATAATAGGAAAATAACATATATTAAACATACGATTTATAACGTAATCTTGATGTATATAATATGCAATTATTTCAATACGGTTTAATTAGTGAAACTAGAATTTTCATATTATTTTTTATAAACAATAAATTAATGTGGATTCTCCAAACAGCCTTCTATCTAATAATATACCTCTTCGAGGAGAAATTCCGTTTGTACTGGTTCGTGCTTTCTGTTCATTATTTGCGGTGGTGTACTAATACGCACCAGTGTGGTTTTTGTTTTCTGAACCTGACATCGCTTTTGTATTAACTGACGTTTCCGAGCTTCAGCCTGTCTTGATGTTTGATATCGATCACCGTTGACCTACAATTATCAACATAAATTTCATATTGATCATTAATGAACAGTATTTAGTTTTATCGATATTTTACACAATTTTTTTATACTTTTTCGCCAGTATTAAGTGGATACCATTAGTAAATAAAATCTACTGTAGAAACTGAATAAAAAATACGTACAAGTGGTGTGGATACCGCAAATATACTATCACGAGCGATTCGACGATCAAACATAAGATTTCCAAATGGAGAAGGTTGATCCCTGTTAGAATAATATAAGATTAATAACAGTTGCATAATTCATAAATTAATAAATTTAAAATTCCAATGATTTTTTATTTTATTTGGAACTGAAATAACATTTTAATACTTCTAGATTTACCAAATTTTCAAAATCAAAAAGCAAATGAGGAAAGATAAATGACCCTGAAACAATGGCTGCCCCTATCAAGGTTCACGGTTGGGACCTGTGGCATGAATACCGGAGGCGTAACCTGCGCGACACTACACAATGACTTTCGGCATTAAAATTTTAAACTAATTATATTCTATAAATACATATAATTTAAGAATGGTTCTCATTGCGTTTATTTTAGTAATTTTTATAATAAAATCGAAAAAAAATTATATTTTTTTTATTTAATTTATTTCATTTTGCTAGCGAACCTTCAGAGTGAGCAAAAACTTATTTTCTTTCACAATTTTTTACAAATGAAAGTATCTACTCTTTATCTCCCAAGATAAAAAATATCGATGTATAAAAGAAGAGAGGTAAGTGAAAAATTGAGCTAAAGGAACTCAGCGGGAAATCAACGAAAATCGACCGACAAAAATATAGAAAAACTGCACGTGGTTAACAAAGATAGCAAAAATTATTTATAACTCCACGCAATTTCATTTTTATTGATAATAAAATTATCAAAATTGATCACTGCAAGATCATCGATAATTGTATCTGCGTGGAGTTTTAATAGTTTTTAGAGAAATAAATCTTTTCAATCGTTAGCAAAAATCACACGCAGTTTTTCTCTCCAAACAAAATATTGTTATAACCATCCGTTAAAGAATAAATATTATTTCTTACTACAGTCACATATGTATGCACCTGAAAGATCAGTCGGTAACATAAATCTGTACACTTTTATTATTGTAAGGCACACTTTCAAACTGATAAGAGTTGTATTAATAGGAATGGGTTATTTTCTGAAATAACCGTCAATGTCAACTATTAATTAGAAGTGAATATTTTATGACACGTAAATATTGGAGTAGTTAAAATGATTGGTTATTGAAAAAATAAGCCATTCCTATCACTACAGCTTTTACACTGGTAGGATAAAAGATCTCAGCGAAAAATCAACAAAAATGAAATTGGAAAAATAAAGAAAAATTGCGCATGATTGGTAAAGAACGCAGAATTCATTGATAATTTTGCGCAAATAAGATTTCGTTAATAACAAAAATTCCGAAAGTTGAACACCTGCAGGATTTGCTGGACAGGTGGTTAGACTTGGCTAATTACTATACTGATGTTCAGTAATCTCTACTTTATTTTCACTATAATCTATGTGTGTAGCGGTCTCGACTCGAGCTCTGGATGGCAAGGCGTTCAGAGGTTAAATAGCGGCGGCGTCGCTACCGCTCCCTCAATTCTCTCGCGAATCTCTATCTCGCTCTGAAGTGCGCACATGCGTATGACGTTTAGTCGGGCAGGGTATCTACACACCCCTAGATCAATAGAAATTGAATTTGCGTAGTGTTTTTGAGCGGTTTTTATAAAAATGAACCCGTTGAATCGTTAGCAAAAATACCGCGCAATTTTTCTATCCAATCAAAATATCATTATAATTATCCGTTATGAAGAAATAAATATTTAAGATGACTTATTTAAGAACTTATTACTTAAGAAGACGTGTAGGCTCAAAAAGTAATACCTTTTGAAAAAGACTATACCTATAAGCAAGGGGTATTTTTCAAATATACAGCAATGTCAACTACTTTAACATAGACAATACCTTTCTAAGAATGCTAGTGTAAGAGCTGAGATGATAGGAATAGCTTATTTTTCCAATAACCATATTTGGAATAAAAAAATCCACTTCTAATTAATAGATTATAACGGGGATTTAGCCCGGTTTACCCCGTAAATAAAAAAAAAACAATAAATGAGGAATGTCCGAGCGAAGTCCGAAGCCTCCTGGATTGTCCGTCTTCTCTGGTCCGGTGCTCGACACACCGGTAATAGGACAGCTGGATCCGCACAGATTTGTAGTGTTGGCCAAAGAACGCAAAAGTCGAAGATTCAAGAGCGGGCGTCGGCACGAAAAAGCGGAATGTTCGAAGAAGGCGACGGGATACGATTAAATAAAATAAACTTACGGTGAACAGTATTTTTAATCGATAAAAGTTAACAAAAGCGGTCGGAAGGAGGGAGAGAGCACGCTGAGAGGGTGAATAGAGAGAGAGAGTAAACCAACAAGCCGGTACTTACAATGACGGTGCTCGTCCTCTAGGCACGCAAACGAGTCACACGGTTTGCGTTAACGCGCACGTACGAATTGTAGGGCACCACGTACACTATACGGCTCGGTTTCTTCTAACAAAGTCCTGCTCTACCAGCTACGACCCACGTGCGTAGATCCTCTACAGGGCCAGGCGACGTCGCAATTCTTCTCTGGATGAAAGCACACGCTCTAAGATCGAAGAAAAAGGGAAGCGTCAGGTCACAACTAAGATCCGAACAAGGAAAGTCGTCGAGACAAAGAACTCTGTCCGCTCGCTCGCGAGTCCACACAACAACAACTCTCTAGCGTGCCGGCGACTCGACTCTCGATTTCGTTCTAATGAGTCAATCAGTGCGCGCGGTCACTCGCTAAGGCACGACTATGTTTCTCTCTCTCTCTCCGCGCCCCGCTGTCGCGCACGGAGGTATCCCTGCGTACTCGCATTCTCTCTCACCTCACTTACCTTATATCCAAACAGAAGGGTAATTACATATGCAGATATAAATAATAAATGATTATAAACATAATAAATTCATAAATACATAGGATAAGTTCGGAGGAATATGTTACATTTACATATCGTTACTAGGGAGAGAGAGATATAACGAGTTTGCAATTTCACTCGTTATAAGATGACATTGACGGTTATTTCAAAAAGTAACCTATTCCTATTAATACAGCTCTTATAATTTTGATAGTGTGCGTTACATTAATAAAAGTGTTGAGATCTATAGTATGTTACCGACTGGTCTTTCAAGTGCATATATATATATATATGACTGTAGTGAATAAGAATATTTATTCTTTAACGGATGGTTAGATTATGATCCAATCAAAATATTATAATAATATTTTGATTGGATAGAAAAACTGCGTGTGACTTTTGCTATGATTGAATAGAATTATTTCTCTAAAAAGTTTATTAAAACTCCACGCAGATACAGTTATCGATGATCTGTAAGTTATCAACTTTGATAATTTTTTTATCAATGAAAATGAAATTGCGTGGAGTTATAAATAATTTTTGCTATCTTTCTTAACCACGCGAAGTTTTTCTATAATATTTTTCGGTCGATTTTCGTTGGTTTCCCGCTAAGTTCCTTTATCTAAAAAATCAAGATACATATTAACATTTTCTTCGATATCAATTTACACATTCTAGCTTTACTCATAGATGACGTCTGTTAGATCTGAAGGTCACCTTAACATCTAGATATTGTCTACGGTGTACACATAAAAAGTCATTCCAATTTTATGTGTAAATGCGTATTGTGACAGTCCTATCTATGAACTCCTATATTTTCTTATTCTCGCTGTATTACGGCAACCCGCTAAATTCGCAAATCTACGCCGATTAATTAGTATATAGAACGGCGCCACGTCACGTATTATATTGTATTAGAGCAAGAATTAAATTTCATGACCATGTAAGGAGCGTGACGTCACAAAATGAATTTATCAAAAGTGCAATGAAAAAAAGTGAAGTGAAAAAACGGCTCCATTTGGCGAAGAAAAAAGTGCTCTTCCACCATGACAACGCACCGGCTCACACCTCCGCCGTCGCCATGGCCAAATTGGTCGAATTAGGCTACGAACTGCTGCCCCATCCACCGTATTCTCCAGATTTAGCCCCGTGCGACTTCTTTTTGTTTCCAAACTTGAAAAAGTCACTCGCCGGGCAGAATTTTGAGTCGAATGAGGAGGTAATCGCTGCCACGGAAGCCTACTTTTCAGACCTCGAGGAAACGTATTTTTCAGACGGGTTAAAGAAGTTGGAGCATCGTTGGGCCAAGTGTATCGAACTAAAAGAAGACTATGTTGAAAAATAAAACGCCACTTTTCCAAAATTTTCGTTTTTCTTTTGTAAGCTAAGTACTTATCGGACCACCCTCGTATTTATCAATAATCTAAAAACAAGCATTTTACTAATAACACAAATTAAATGGCCATAGCCGACTTTCTATAGTGATTTTGGCCTCTGGCCGTTTGCAAAAAGTAATTACGGGATTTTTTTTTGATGGTTTAAAACTTCTTTACACCAATTGTCAATCCTTAAGATACATTAAAACCGGGGCAAATGCAAAAAAAACCGTTTTTCTGCACTTTCTTTGCGTGTTGGTCTATATCTCACAGGGAAAGCAATATTTTTTGACATACTTTTTTTTATTTCACTCAAGAGGACTTTTCTTAACTGCTATAGGTATTTTTTGAATTTTCCTAAAGAGAAAACGATTTTTCTTTGACTTGAAGAAATTTATTTTGAGCGAAAAAATCTGAAAACAATATATATTACACACTAATACATATTTCAGTTAACGTACTTCTGTATTTTTCTTAAACAGAATTTTTCGAAGGGGTAACCATCCTTTTACCACCTATTAGTACTAAATTTGGATCTTTTTAGGACGTAATAGCATACTTCAATAGTTTTTTGAAAAATGAGACACGTGTTTTCTTATCTGCGGATTGACGAATTTAAGGGATGAAACAGACCCTCAAAGTTACGAGTATCAAGGAATAGTTATTTTAAATAGAAAAACTTATGTTAATTACTTCACAAAATTTTATCTATTTTCAAGCATAAATAAAAAATTATTTTATAAAAATTTTATTTAAAAAATGAGTTTAAAAAGTTAATTTTGAAAAAAAAATCTTAAAAAAATATGTGATTCAAACATATACAGAGTGTCCCATTTTAAACGAACCACCCCGAAATTTTCTACGGTTGGCATTCTATAAAAAAATTGTTCAGACAAAA